AGAGAGCATTTAAGGAGGAGAATCGGGGGCTGGCCAAGTGGCTCAGTTGGTTAAGAGCTCACTCAAGAGTGCGAGTTCTGAGCAACAGCGGTTTAAGTCCCGAGCTGAGCTGCCAACAGGTAGCAGGATGGCTCAGCTGAAAAAAAAAAACACCAAAAAACAAGAGGAGAATCAGAATGGCACCAGATACACAGAAGCTGATTGAGGTAGCCTGGGATGGCTCTGGAATCCAGCATGGAGACCGGGGCAGACAAGGCTAGAGAGATTGGCAGGGGCCACACACAAAGGCCTCGAGTGCCAGGCTAAGAAGCATATACTCAATCCCCAAATTGACAGGGCTTGCCAGATTCTCAGCTCGGGCTTCTAGCTGGGAAGGTGTCAGAGCTCTGGAGCAAGGGCCTCCGGAGCCCTGAAGACACAGAAGGCAGAGCCTTCTCCAGGGGTGAAATGCAAACACCAGGAAAGAGCTCTTGGTTGAAACTACTGGGTCCACACTCCTTGTTTGCTTTTTGCCTTGTGGGCTCTCCTCCTCTGCAGGCTCCTCTTTGAGTAGCCTGGGGCTCCTCCTCACAGCCTCGTCCTTGGCTGCCCTCTCAGTACCTTCTCCTGACCCCGTCCGTGGCCATGGTATCAAGTGCCATCTATGTGCCAACAACTCCCGAATCTATTCTCTCCATCTTGGCCCTCTCTCTTCTAAGCTTGCAGCCCATATAACCACCTGCCTGTTTCACAGTTCTGCTGGGGCGAGGGGTCATGAGTCTAAATGGCACCTTGAAAACTTGCCTAAAACCAAACTCATGATATTCCCACACAAACCCAGTTTCCCCCACTGTTCACTATTTCAGTGAATAGGCCCTCTGTTCAGCTAGAATCCATACCTCCTCCATGTGTGAAAGCCCTCTCAGATCCATCCACTTTAATTCTTTCCATCTCCACCATCACCAACCTAATCAAAATCACCCTTTACCTCTAGACTACAATGGCCTCCTTTCTCAGTTTCCCCATATACTCTTGCACATTTGATCCTTTCCAAAGTTGCCAGAAAAATCTTAAGGTATAAACGTAATTATGTCACTCCCTGGCTTTAACCCTTATTGTTCCCCCAGAGCTCTGGAGCTCTGAGTACAAAAAGTTAAGGCTTACAAAGCTCCATGAGAAGGTGGCACTTCTGTCCACCCCTACCCTCTCCTGCCCTGGGACCTCTTTTCTTCTGGCAGAACACTTCCCCCCGGAATGAATCCCATATATTCAGATCTCAGCTACCCCCACCTGCATCAGACTCTCCATTGATCATCAAGTCCCCCCAGCAATATTTATTGAGGTACCAGGCACTTCTGGGGATAAAGCAGGGAGAGGCTTTATCTTATTCTCTCAAAGAGCTTCCTGTCTGGCCTGAGTGGGAGATACAGGGAATAAAAATGCAAATGAGTTTCAGATTCTGATAAACGCTAGAAAAGAAAGATGTAATGAAGTCAGTCTCACTGCACCCCGTACTTTTTCTTCATAATTATCTATTACAACTTTTACTTTGATTAAAGTCATTGTCTTCTCACAGCATAGTGCCTGAAAGAGTGGACACTCAATAAACAGTCGCTGAATGAATGAAGATGGGTCTACCCTGAGTTAGCTTATTCTATACACTCCCTGGAACTCACTTTCCCCGCGTTGTCCCCTCGGGCTGGGGTAAGTTAGGTGAAGTATCTGTTAGCTGTGTTGAAGGGAATTTACTGACTGCTTGATTATCTTCTAATAGAGTCAGAGCACTTTTCCCGACTTTCACCGAGCACGTAAATAGGATACCTTCATTACCGTTTAGAAATGCAAAATCCAGCGGGATTGGGTCCTTACCCTTTCTCGCCTTTGTTGACAAATTTCTGAACTTCCTTCACTCCGCGCCGAATCTGCTTCAGCTTGACGGCTGCAATGACAGGAAAGTCAGTCCGGGGCCCTCGGCCCGCCACCCGCGCCCCCACGGGCCACCGCGCCATCGCGCTGCAGCGCCGCCCGCCGTACCTTTTTTGATGCATTTGTAGAGCTTTCGCGTGAGGCGGCGAGAAGCCAGGGGCTGCGCGATGGGGTTCAGATTCACCAGCAGCTCGTGGTAAGTACGCTCCCCGGAGGACGCCTCCGGCTGAGCCTCCTGCGCATCTGGATCTGCCTTTATTTTGGTCATCGCAGCGACCACG